GGGTGACTCCCACCGCTGCACACACCCTGAGAGAGCATGGGGGCCACATGCCCTCAGGTCTGCATGAAGAGCAGGTGGGCTGCCACTGCAGGCTGAGGCCAAGGCTGAGACTGCACCAGGCTTTTCCTGGAGGGGGCTGGGCCAGGCTGTGCTCAGGGTGGGGGGCAGTGCTGGGACAGCTACAGTGAATTTTGGAGTGGCTGCAGCCCCTGCAACCCCTGTTCCCAGGGCTGCTGCCACCTGCCCTGAGTGCTGCCTGGTCCAGCCCCTGCTGGGAACAGCCCAGCGCAGCCCGCCCCACCCCGTGCAACTCCTGGGACATACGCCCCCCATGCCCTCCCAAGGTGAACCAGGGCAGAAGCTGCCAACCTCCACCTCACCCCGGACAAGCCGTGGCTCCATCCCGTGCCCCACCCTGCCCCGGCTGGCAGTGCCTGCCCCAGCCCCAATCCCTTCCTCACTGCAGGGGCCTCTATCTGACTTCTCAAGCCCCTTCCCTCCCTCCTTCCCTTCCACTACAACAAACTTATCAGCTGAACACTGCTCTTCAAGCTGTTGGGCTGCTGTCGGAAATCGGATTGGTACTGACTGATACGCCTCCCTAAAAATCAGCTATCAATATACACCCCTAATTAAAATATAAAAATATTCTAATTATTATCACAATGGTCAATACCGAGATATGTTGGGGAACAAAAATATTTAAGACTTGTTCTAACTTAACTCCTTTGAGAACATTTTGTCTTTTTCTGTTAAAGATAGTTTTAGGGAAATGAATGCTTATAAAAGCTTAAGTGCCATTTTTCTTTTCCCAGGTGAGCCACTTAATGACCATGCAAGCTTTGCCATATTGTCAAACCGAAGTGTTTCGTTCTTGTTCTGAAAGGACCTCAGAGAAGGTGGATACTTCACTCTCTATGCTCATGCAAGCAGTGTCATCTCTGCAAAGTGTGAATCCAATGGTAATGAAGTTTTTCAGAACCTGTGACTTAAGTCAGATCAGACTGTAACAACTCCAAATCATACTCAGGCTATATTCAACTTGGCCTCACAGGGCACATCCAGATGAGTGTGGATACGTGGTATGCAGTGCTAGAGACCTGCTTGAGGCGCCGCATGCCACACATGCAAGTGTTTCCTGAGCTGCTACTTTGCATTGCAGGGGGGTGGTACGACTGCAGGAGATCCTGAGGACGAACCCCTGCCACCCCCACACCTAAAAAAAAGCGGGGTGACATGTGGCGGCAGCCTAGCCAGAGCCTAGCTAGCCGGTGCCATGCTCTAGCTGCTGGCCAGGCTTCCTGCTTCAGAAGTGCCATGGCTGCAGCTCCCAGAGGCCCCCAGGACCCCAAGTAAGGCCGCTGGGGCCAGCCCAGGTGCCAGCTCAGCCTCCCCTACCACACCCAGAATAATGTGCTGCATGCTAGATTGCACATGGCATAGCTGTTTCCCAGGGCAAGTAGCAGTGGCACAAAATGTGCCAATACTACCTGAGCCCAGGGAAAACAGACATTCCCACTTGTGGGAACACACTAAGGTTGCCAACCTTCCAGGACTGCCCTGGAGTCTCCAGGAATTAGATTAAATCTCCAGGAGACTGCTGATAGTCACCCAGGAGATAAATTATAGGGTATTCATTAAAATCAATATTCAATGTTGAATCTGATGTATATAATAGTCCAGTGGGTTTTTAAAAATGTAACAGCAATGTGCATTTGCCTTCCTGACAAAGTCTCTGCGCTGTAATTAGCACCAGTATGCCATGTGATGAAACCTCCTGGAACAGATTCAAACAGAGTTGACAACCCTAGGACACACCCATAGGGGTCAATGGGGTGTCTCATTCTTGTAGGAACTTTGCCTAACATTAGTTTCTGAAACTCTTGCTCTCTCTCTATCTGTGCTATGCTATATATTTCAAGCACAGCATACTGGGATCAGGCATATTCCCTGCTTCTCAGGAAACAGCTATGCTCTAATCTTGAGTGAGGAAGACGGAATGCAACATTGAGACAAAGTAAAACAGCATCTCACTAGAAATGGATTGTGGAGTTTCTTTCATTCTGTTTTAAGTGAAAACAAGTGAGCTGCTTCAACTGCAAAAACAAAAACTGACCCAAGGACCTGAGACTGGATAGCATTCAGCAATTCATCAAAAAATTAGGAAGTGGCATTTTAGGCAACCCCTTTAGAACATTCAAGGAATTCCTGAGAAAAACATCTGAGGAATATTTTTTCTTTCATAATACATTGAAAATTGCCACTCAGTCCTGCTCCCATATAGCTTTTTTCTTTTTTAAACACAGTAAAAGCAATGGACCTGCTTGGTCCCTTGCATATGACTAGAATTTCACACTGAAACATCTTCTTGGTGCCAGAAGCATGCAGAAAGATGTTAATCAGAAGTAGGGGAAGGGGCAGAAATAATGCTTGTAGAAAGAATGTTGGTTATTTTATAAGAAGTTACAGTGATACTCTCTCCTCTTGGGAATGACCGCAATACAGGAACTGTTTAACAACTTTATCACTTTTAGGAAGAAATTTACATTTCTTCTACAAAATTAAGTTGCATGTGAACGGTTATGCTGTTAATAACAATTTCAAGTTTTTAAAAACCAAATCTGAAATTGTAACTATATCTACTTCTTATACATCTTAACTCAGAATATTTGGTGATCTTCTGTACTGCAGTACTTTGGCCAAAAGCATTACACATTACAGCCAACAAGGCAGAATGTGAACAGAACACAGATGTTTGATTTTTAAACTTTGCTGGGGTGGTAGCGTGCAGCAAAAGGAAAGAGAAGTATGCTTGAATCCCACCTTTAGTAAGAAAGATTGCCACATGTTTAGGCATTCAATTTCAATATGTAGACTTAGCCAGCTGACAGTCACCAATGTTAACAAGAGAGGAACAACACAGGCTCTCTGCAATACCCATGATAACTTCTGTAGGCTACTTCTGACTCATTTGAGTCAATACATTAAAAATACATTTAGTGGGAGCAAACTCCCTATAGGTTGAATGTGGAAGAGACGTAATTTATTCCAGTATCTTGCCCTTCACCAGCAGGAAATACCAGTCATGACATGATGTTAAGTTGTGGATGATGAAATGCAGAGAGTCAGTTTTTTGTGAGAGAGAAGTCAGGATTTAAACCTGTGCTACAGGAGGCAAAGACAAATGTTGTCCCCTCATTGTCACCTCCTGCCTTCATGAATCAAATTTTATTTTTCAGGGTAGTTCTGAGAGTGGCCTGGAAAGAGAGGTATCCTCAAACATTAAAAAATAAAATCACACATTTGTAAAAAAGAACTGATAGGGCCAATCCTTTACAAATTGCATTCCTTAACATTCAGCAAATATGTTTTAGAAATATAAATATGCCTAAGTGACTTAATATTCAAAGGAGTCAATCACCCTGAAGACTCACTGAAGTCAGCAAAAGCTGTAGCTTTGAACATTAGGCCTCTACAAGCACCAAAATATAGTTTCAGGAGCCCTAATTCATACCTTAATGTTTGCAAATTTTGTCCCAAGAACTTTTGGCTTACATGAATTGGAGATAGTTTGTCTAAATTCCTTAATAACTGACAATAAAGTTCAGAAAATTGCTTTTTTACAAGATGTATCATCAAACTTTCCTATAAATGGTACCTTCCATACCCCGATCATGCAGGGGATGGAACAGGATTTTATGTTCATAGCAATGTGGCTTCACGAGTTTCAGTAAAATAAACATTCTTCTCAGGTGGGTTTTAGATTAGATAAAACCAAGTTATCTAGAATAACAAGTAATAAAGTTCAATACTACAACATATCCAGTAACAAGACACTGTGCAGTCCTTTTAGCCAAGTCAATCTGAATAGCAATGATTATCATGCAAAGCAGGACTTGAGAATGATAAGTCAGTTGTAGAAGTGAGCTGTAGGGTAAGTGTGGCCACATTTCACAGAGAACTCTTGTAACACTAACACAAAAATGAGTCATCAGTCATTAGATTATGACAGTATTTTAAAATCAGAATTCAAAACACTAGCACAGGTTCTATATCTGGGGTGAGTACAGGGTTGTAGGCGAAGGGGCACATTACTAAAGGGTAGATGCATGTTATGTGGTAAAATACTGCAAGACTAGGGAACAGTTCCCATTCAGAAACTGGTGTGGCTGCACTGGCATTGATCCAAAGCTGCAGAGAACTGAATTGCTCAGTGTTTACTTTCAGTTCAAGCAGTAGTAAACCTGCTATAGCAAAACTGCCCATGCTTTATCCCAAATGTTGTAAGTCAGTATTATCTCCTTGACTATAATTAACATATAACCTACCTCAGTGAGCTCCCAGGTGATGCTAATAGTCCAACATAGGCCATAGCTGCGGATCAACAAGGCCTTCATTGACCAGCCCCAGAAATGCCCGAAGGCAAATATATCAAAATGGCTAAGCATTCTCTCCCAGGTGATAACATGACAGTTCACAGCATATTCCTGTTAACAACACAACAAGAATCCTCAGCTACACTCTAACATCTGCAGTCAACAGAGAAGTAGCGTATTTTCATTTCAGTGAAAAAAGTACACCAAGCTTAAAAGGTTAACATTAGAAAGATTTTGAAACACATGTTACTGCTCCCATCTACATTAGGAGTGCCTTTCTCCTTTTTCTAATGCCAGGCATGTAAGTTCAAAAAAAGGCTACTGGGAAAATGAGCAGTAAATACAATAAAGAAGAAGGGTTTTGATGCAAGGGTATTACAAGAAAGTGGCAGCAGACATCAGGGAGGAGATGGTGGGGATCAAATGGAAGAGGATGGACTGGCACAGACTGCTCAGGAGTGGGACCCCTGAAGACAGCAAAGATAACGATGGTAGTGGAGCTGATGAGAGAGAAGATGACAGTGATGACTGAAGAGATTGGGAAAGAGACATAGGAAGGGGAGGGGGAAAGGAGGGTTAGGGGTGAGGTTGTGTCACTGTGATGGGCCAAGGGTGATTCATAGATCGTTAGGGGCTGGAAGGGACCTTGCAGATCATCGGGTCCAGCCCCCTTGCTCTAGGCAGGAAGACAACTGGGGTCCAGTGACCCCAGAGAGGTGACTGTCTAGCCTCCTCTTGAAAACCTCCAGGGTAGGTGACTGCACCACCTCCGGAGACAGTCTATTCCACAGTCTGGTCACTCTCACTGTGAAGGAGTTTTTCCTGGTATTAAGCCTGAAGCAGCCTTCCAGGAGTTTATATACCTTGGTCCTGGTCTTCCCTAACAGTGCCCTAGTGAACAGTCGTTCACCAAGATCCTGATGCACTCCTCCTTTGATAAGCCACTATCAAGTACCCTCTCAACCTTCTCTTCTTTAGGCTAAAGAGGCCCAGGTCCCTCAGCCTTTCCTCATATGGCTTGCCCTGCATATGAGGCTCTTTTCTGGACCCTTTCAAGTTTGTCCATGCCCTTATTGGAAGTCCAGCACCCAGAACTGGATGCAGTACTCCAACTGCGGTCTCACCAGTGCTGAGTACAGTGGGAGTATCACTTCCTTAGTTTTACATGAGATGCATCGGTTGATGTATGCCAGCGTGTTATTTGCCCTGCTGA